GTAAACAATAAAACATGAAACCATAAAAACTGGAATGAAAATTTCTCTTGAAACCAAAACTAATTCAGCATGGATTCACTAGTACAAAAATAGCGCATAACGTCATGCGTTCAACGTCCAACCATTGAATAATCAACGTTAAAAATGACTGGTGACATTTTTGTAAATAAATGCAATTATTAGACATCGTTTAAAACTGTAATTCGATGTCAATTTGTTATAAGACGTCAAATATTGAGAAGTCTAACGTTCTATTGGATAAATATTCAAAAGTATTTGACTCGAAGGTGAAAATATACTTACGTATGACGTCGAATGCCCTAGAATTAAATGTCAAAAGGTTTTAAAATGTCGAGTGCCCTAGCGTTGGACGTCAAAAGGTTAGTGAATTCAATAAAAATTTGAGCGGGAGATTGAAAATTCATTCACTTTATCTTAGCGCGCAAGAACCTTTTCTTTGCTCAAACTTTTCTCGAACGAAGTTTGATGACCATTACATGTAATCTTTCTTTCATTTGATACAAATGCATGTTAATTAACTACTTTAGGTATGATTTAGGTTTGTTTTGACCGATTATTTTCGTGTTCTTGTCCTTCACAGGCGCATTCTACTTTCTCTCTCACAGGTGGCAACACTTTGTTTCGACGAACCCGCCTTTTGAAGGTTAGTTTCGGTTTTCGTTTTGAAGAACTTATTTGTTAAACTTGCTTGTTGTGTTGTTTGATTGAACTTGTTTGTTGTTGTTGTTTGCTTGAACTTGTTTGTTGTTGTTGTTTGCTTGAACTTGTTTGTTGTTGTTGTTTGGTTGAACTTGTTTGTTGTTGTTGTTTGTTATTTGTTGTTGATACTACACTGCATGTTCATAGTTCGTACTATATAAAATACTAAAAACTGAAATTTGTTGATTTTTTGTTTTTCAGTTGTAAAAAAGGATCACAATTAATTAAAAAAAATTCATTAATGTCGTATATTGATAAAATTTAACGTTAATTAATGTAATGCCGAATTTTTTAAATTTGATGTCAATTTAACGTCTTCTAATATGACGTCGGCCTTGAATTCGTCGTGAAAGGCCGAAAAACACTGACACTAAATGGTGCTTTTGTACTAGTGATTTTACTTGTGAAAGCAATAATCAAAATAAACTTCAACAAGCATGGAATAAAAAGTAGAGTAACAATAACAAGAGTAATAAATCAAATTAAACCGCTCGTCCCTTTGGAAGCCGAGAATCATCGCGTCACAAATTGTAATTGAAACTAACGAAAGGAGGAAGCTAAATTAAAATAGAAAGTGAAATTCTACATGACAAAATATAAGTTGTAAGATTGAAATTGGAAATTACAACAAAATAAGTAGAACAAACAAAATTGCATTAACATGAAAATGGGAAACAAATGCGTTAGATGTAAGACCTTGGGAAAATGTGATAATTAGGGAATAATGTAGTTATGAGAATTGTATATGGTTGTTTAGTAATTGGTCTTTGATGGTTGGATGTTTTCTAGAATTATAATTACTATGTTTATTATTTAATGTTATAATTGATTAAGTAGAATACATGATTATTATGTTGTTATTTTGATAATTTGTGTGATGTGTTATTATCAATATGATGTATTGGATTGATGATAGAAGGATAATTTAGTATTGAATAGGTGTGGGCCAAACTCTAGAAAGAAAGAGAGTTTAGGAAAACTTTTGGGTTTATTATATTTTTGGGCTTAATGGCAAAAGAGTCTTTTACTATTATTTAATTGGTCTAGAAATGAAATTATGGGGGTGAAGAAAGTAATGAAAGAAAAATAATTTTGAATAATAAAATGTGGGCTACGTGACGCTTAAAGTATTTTGTGATTATTGGTATTTTAAAAAGTAGATAAAATAAGAAAAAGATAGAATAAGAAAAGATAAAAAGGAGAAAGGGAAAATTAGGGCTGCACTTTTATTCTACATCTAAAACGAAAAGAGAGAGAGGGAGAGAGGGAGAAAGGGAGAGAGAGAGAGGCGGTTTTGGGAGAGAAGAGAAAAAATTGCAGAACCTTAGAGATTAGTGGTGTTTTAGAGTGTAGATAAAGTCCTAGAATTGCCCATGGTATGGAGAAACTTACCTTTGTTTGTTAATTATTGTATGTTATATGTGTTCTTGGTTATTTTGATTAATAATCCTTGTTGATATATGTTTATATGATTATGATTATGGTTGTATGTTGCTCTTGTTGGACAAGGGTTTATGTATTCATGCGCGTAGGATTTATGTAATATTTTTGTGTTGGGTTTTCCCTATGAATGTATGTGTGATTGTTGGTTTATCCCAACGGAGGGTTTAATGCTAAGGGAGTTTTCCATGCAAATGTATGTGTAAGAGTGTGGTAATAATCGTATGCATTATAATTGTGTTGTTTGAGTTATACTATGTATAATGATTGAATTTGGATTATTCAAGTTTTGTGATGCATGTAATTGAGTATGTTTATAAGGGTTTGTGATGCTTGAATGCATGAATGATGTTTTGGGGAAGTTTCCTCGTGATTTAGGGTTGTTTTATGTGTGTTTACAGACATGAATTATATCTAGGATGTGTTTCTTTTTGCAGATAATCGATTATCACTAATGATGATCGATTACTGGGTGTTGATATTAACTCTAGTTGTGGGAATAATCGATTATCCCTTCTTGCGTGATGTTTCTTGGTGATTTTCACTGAGATAATTGATTATCACAATGTATTTTGGTGAAAAATGACGAATTTGATGAAGAATGGACGTGGTTCAAGCCTAGGAAACAGTGGAACGCGTTGGTACTCAAGGAATGAGAGTAATGGGCATGTTCAGGGTCAGTTTTGACTTGTGATTTTGAATTGGAGTATGAATGAGTGTTGGGATGTCCTTGAGTAAGTGATTGATGAGCATAAGAGTGGATGATAAAGTCTATTTGTTGTATCTAGTAAATTCTGGTGCTATATGTGGATAAAGTCGCATGTGGTGTGAATAATTAATTGTTTGCATTATAAATGTGTAATATGTGTTATGTGCGAAATAGAATAACTTAAATGGTTAACATTGTAAACAAAACGAATGATTCGATGTAGTGGTAGAGTTGTGTGTTTGTTGTCTGTGGAATAGATGGTTTAGAACTCGAATTGTGGTAGAATTAAAAGTGTTGTTTCTTTTTGTTACTTTTATCTCATTTATTTATTTATTTTGCTTTGTTTGCTTTAGACTAAGAAAGAGAAACCATGTGAGAAAATAGGAAACAAAGTTACCCTAGCCTCGTCACCATTCGAGAGACCCCCATTTCTTCTATTCTCTTCTTTTTTCCTTTTTGATCCCGCTAACCCTAGGGGCCAGCGGGAGTGTTGTGTAGTAGTGGAAGAGGGGAGTGAATGGCGATAAAGGAGGGTAATGTTTCGGTTAAGTGGCGCAAGGATGAGGGTTAGGGAATCCAAGGGTGGCGCGAGGATAACCTTAAGGTTTTGAGTGTTCTATTTGGGGGTTCATAGGATACTTATTTAAAGGCAGTGAAAGGAGAGTGTAGAGCAATAAACAAACTCACTTAGAAAAACCAAAGAGTAAAAGGGAGACTCAAGAGTCGCGAATGAAGAATGTTTAATGGAGTGAAAGCTTATAGGAAAGAGGAATTGAATCCAGGTTGAAATGCAATGCATGATTGTACGAATTGATGTTTACATTTTGTTTGCCAAAATGCACTGGAATTTATTGATTGTTGGGTGACTTGCGATCCCTTTATTGAATACTTCAAATTGTATGTTGATGAAATGTTAAGCGAGTTATAATTGATTAAATGAATTTAATTAATTTTATCATCTTATTAGGTTCATGAGTGGTTTTTCACAGTTTTGGTATGTTCTTTTTTATTCATAGTGTGTTTAACTTGAAAGGAGTATAAGAGCTAGAATGATGATGTGTTTATTGTTTGGTAGAACTAATGTTGAGAATTTTATCTTTGCAATGTTGTCGCTGGTTATAAAACTTGAGTATTTCAGAGTGATAAGGACAGGGGTAATGTATTCAATGAATATAATATATTGTATGGCTTATATGTTTTGCATGATAAAGGATAAATTTTGAGACTTTGAGAGTGGGGTTATTTCCATCTGCATGTGTGATTGTTGGAAGAACTTGTTTGTTAATTGTTTGTTTCAAAATTGATTTTATCTCTGTGTAAAACCATGAATTGTTTGACCATCTCTATTATAAACAATTTTGTATGTGTATAAAGTTGATACCAGTGCATAATTATAGTACCTGTAATTCTCCAAATTATAAAATATCATGGGTTATTTAAAACTGATTAAATTTCAAACTTTAATATAGTGCGAAACGTGTTTCAAAAATTTTGACAATTAAACGTGCATAATCTATTAAAAATGTAATGATTCTAAAATACTTGTGAAAAAAATAAAAGAAATAAAATAAATTCAATTACATTATTTAACTATAATAATTTTAAATAAAATTAGTTTTATTGATAAATTTTAGTTATTATCGAGGGATTTCGTCTCTCAATAAATCAAGTTTTTTTTAATGTATAATTATAAATTTTATGAGTTTAACTTACCGTGTTTGCGTAAATATAAGGTTATGAAACACATGAACAAAATCACCATATAGTTATCCATTACTTGTCTACCAATTTAAATAAATTATACATAAATAAGTTGGTGATCATGTTATAAAAGAATAACTTGCCTATAACTAAGTTATTTAAAGAATAATTCGTGAGTAAAGTTATTCACATAGCATTTATTGGTAACTGTTGATTTGACTAACTTCATGATAAGTTTTCCCTACCTATTAGTAATTTTCTTTTTGTTTTTTTTAACCTATAAAATTGTGTCGTTGGTTTTGTTATTACAAGAGTTATGGTAAAAAAAAAACTTGTCCCACACATTTCGGATATAATAACTATAAGGTTTCAATAACTATCATTGATATAAAAAAATATAACAGAAATAGTCATATACAACATAATACAGGTGGATTAGGGAGGACCTGCAATTTTTTTGCTCAATTTTACTTGAATTTTCTTATACAATATTACATTTATTTACTGGCTTGTTCAAAGCGATAACGATAGAGCAATACTGTTTTGTGTACTATCAGTGGACCCATTAGAGAATTTCATATCCTTAACAATCATAAGCAGTGCCACTATGAATGCGTAGTCCACGTTAGGATAGACCATGACATTGAAGCCACCATTATTCTCCACCTACATTAAAGACAAAAGCATGCATACGTTATTAGTATAATTCTTAGAGATTTCATAAATATCTACAGTATATAGGTATATAAGTGAAGTTATTATAGTATGATTATTAGATTTCATATCTGTTATATAAGCAAAATCTACTATAAGTATGTATGTAAAGTGAAGATAAACTTTACTTTATTAAATAATGTTAAATTAGACTTAGATTTACTTTAATATGGACATTTTAAAGTACATTTTAGTTGAGATTTAAATTTATTATATCGTTTCTAATTTTCTTGTTTGATGTGAATGTATAATTCTTTTCGACGAAAAGATATATTAAATTTTTTATAATTAGCAAAAATAAATTAATTTATACAAATAAGAACAAATATCATTTTAACAATCGTGTCTAAAGAGATTGAGTTAAGATTAATTCTATTAATAACAAGTTTACTTCTCATAAAAAACAAAGAACTACTAATACATGTAAAAGGATATACGAACTCATACTTTGGCTACGATGATAGGAGATTCACCGGCATAAACTGTGCAAGAGTTTTTACTTCCATAAATGATCACTCTAAAGTCACTTTCTTTTTTGTCTTCATTGTTTGCGAGGAACACATTCAATTTTGCAATCCCAGGTGGAATCGATTTATTGGTTTTTTCCACGGAAAACAGCAATTCAGATGAATCGGTGCTTTCACCCTTGAAAACTTTGCATCGCTCATGAATCGTCACGGCCTGCATAACGGATATTAATTAAGAATAAAAATAACATGGATAGTGTAGCGATACACATAATACCGATCCACCTTATGAAAATTTTCTCACTCAGGATTAATTAAAACTAATAAGATATGAATATTAAAGAAATCAGATATATGCAGGAGAAAGCAAACCTTATTGTACAGAGTGACGATGGGTTTTTGTGTATTATCATATAAAACACGACGGTTGTGAAGTGTAAAAAAAGTATCGTCCATATAAAAGAGACGATCACCCTTTTCATTGTAAGTCACTCCTTTCTCTGTATTAACCTGTAAAGTGATAGAATCAGCTGAACAGTAGAAAGGGTTGATAACTGAGACCTGATCTGCCATTGATGAGAGGAAGGTATTTGAAGGAACAACACTGTCTTTATTTATGTCTTGTATTTGCCAATTTATAGACCAACTACTTATGGTATCTATCAAATAAAACGCGTCAGATACATACACACAATTGAACTTTACCAATACTAATACCATTTCCAATTGAACTATCTGTCATTTACTGTTGTATATACTGACCAAGTCAAGATTTTGACTGCATTGATGAACCTGGTCTAACATCGATATCAACAAACCAAAACTGTTGTATTCCGTTTGTTCCTTCTTCGCCAATACGAAGAAGATGAAGTAATTAGAAAAGTTGGCAAAAAATGTTGAAATGTCTACCGCCGTTTTCTTTTGAATTGTCGTTCAACCGGCCGACAATTCAATGCACGTCAATGACTTTTTTTTTTCAGTCTCTCCACGCAATAATGCCATCAATTCAGGTAAATAAAATTGCAGTATTTGATGATCAATCATATCTACAGATCTGTACCAACAAAGCAATCCAAAAAACCAATTACAGATTTGTACAAGAAAGGAATACGAGAGAAGACAATGCATTAGAAAAAAATATTCAAAAGAAAAAAAAATCAAAATGGCATTTTACCTAATTAATCACACGAAAGTAACCACTGAATAATGACGGCAAGAGTGCAAGGAGCTAGCAAAGAAACTAAAAGCAGTTAATGTTGGGTGCGACAACTACCACCGTGACAAAAGGAAGAGCTGAAGCGAGCACAGTAGAGGGAGGAAACAAAGTTTAGAAGTGCTGGCACGAGATGTGCAAGTACAAAATATGCATTTTGATTTTAAAATAATTGAGTATACAACTTTTTACACCAACTCTAGATTTAAGGGTATAGAAATTTTGTAATATATTATAACTTGTTTCATTTTCTATACTAACATGAAGACTAATTAGAATAAAAAGTTTTACATTATTTACATAATTGTCACTATGTCACTTTTTTAATTGATAAATTAAAAAAATAAAATTAATCAGGTTTGAATTTTTTTACTTAACTGTTATCAAATTTTGGCTTATTAGATCCTTTGAATCTTTTTAATATTTAATTAATTTTTCTCATAATTAAATAACTTGGATTGAAACATAACTAGAAACATAATTTTAAAAATTATTAAATTATAAAGTATACAATTATAAAATTATAAAATTTTAAAAAATTGAACATAATAGATTTTAATTTACTGCTATTTTTTCTAATTCTATTTATTGAGTCATGAAACTAAAATTTGAAATACATTAAATTTTCTAAAACAAAATATATATTTCAAATTATTCAATTCAAGTACATAATAAAGTATTTAAAAATAAAATAAACAAAAAGATGTCTAATTTTAAATTTGTTGTCTAAACAAAGTGTAACTTAAACTTTTAAATCTAAAAAACTCAAACAAAATTTAAACAACACCTAAGCAAAATTCAATCTCTACTTTAGAAGAGATAACTTGTTCAATCATATGTTATTTCATCGATGACTTTCTTTTTATATTGGTGATGGATCATGGAACACATAAAACAATGTTATTATATAATTGCATACTTAAAACTCTTAGAATTCATGACTAGTTATAAGTGGTTACCCGTTATCATAAATTCATGTTTAATTCATTTTTTTATCAAATACATCACGAATTACTCTTATTTCCATAATCTACTTATTGCATGTAATAAAAAAAAGGAAAATTCACATCATATAATTTGTATACAAAATAATTTATTATCAAAAGGATTGGACGTCTGCCCAAAGTCAAATACCCACTGCAAAAGACATCAAGTTTGTAATACTACGTGTCACTCTCCTAGTAATTTCAAGTTTTCTAACAATGAGAGTCATATGAGGAGAGGAATAAGTGAAATCACGTGATCAAGACTTGGTTGCATATGATGAATATCGTTGTTGGAACATTTTAGAGGACTAAGAGTTGAAATATTTTGCACCAAATAAACATGAAAGAGCTGTGTAAATGGCAGGTTGTTGTTGCGGTGCATGAACTAGAGCTGCCTGCTGTAATGGTTCGTATGAAAAGCTTGATCACTAATATAGAGAAGGCCTTTAATGTCACCCTTTAAACGTTCGATTTTCGAATATCTCACGTAAAAAATAACCGGTGACACTTCTGTAAATAAGTTAATGTTGTAGACGTCCGACCGGGCACGTCCCCGACGTTTGATGTCTCTATGGACGTCTGAGCCCCTATGTCGGACGCATAATGACCTGACAGTAGGTGAAAAGTTGCCCTGATCCATTGCTTTAGACGTCCGCGCCCCTATGTCGGACGTCTGATGTCCCCATAGACGTCCGAGCCCCTATGTCGAACGCCTAATGACCTGACAGGTAAGTGAAAAGTTGCCCTGATCCATTGCTTTAGACGTCCGGGACCCTTTGTCGGACATCTGATTTCCTTATAGACATCCAGGCCCCCATGACGGACGCCTAATGACCAGACAGGTAGGTGAAAAGTTGCCCTGTTTCGTTGCTTTAGACGTCCGGGCCCCTATGTCGGACGTCTGATGGTTGCAAAGAATACCAAAAGTCATTTTTATGTCGTAGAGTAGACGTCTGAGCCCCTATGTCGGACGTTTGATGTCCCTATAGACGTCCGGGCCCCATATATCGGACATATATAGCCTTCGTCAAAATTAACTTTTAAATAAACATAGACGTCCAGGCCCCATATGTTAGACGTCTGATGTCTCTATAGACGTCCGATGGGAGAGGGCCCCGACGTCTAAGGTGTTTTATTACTCTTTGCGCAATCTCGGGGCAGTTACGCGCACTATTCATCTTCTTCCTCCTCGCGTTTTCTCTCTCGGTTTTGCATTTTCAGGTACGTTTTTCGTCTTTTGGACCGTTTAAACTTACTTTTACTCCGATTAAATTAGTCTTTGATGGATTATCTTCCATTTGAACCGATTAAAATGAGTTTTTGTTGTGTTTTGGTGTAGATTTGCTGGTTTTCTTGGGCGGTGATTTCTTGTGTTTTGGACAGTTTTTTTTTGCGTTTTCCACTCCTCCAATTCCTCCACTACGTTTGTAATCGGTTAAGAAGTTTATTATTCTTTTTTAAAATTTTTTGTCTATGCATGTTATTGGCTTTTCGGTATGCATGTTTTTGGCATTTGGATATGCATGTTATTAACTTTCAAATATGCATGTTATTAACCGTCGAATTTGTATGTTGTTGGCTTTTGGATTTGCATGTTGTTGGTTTTTGGAGATATACATGTTATTGACTTTTGTGTATGCATGTTTTTGCTTTTGCGAATGCATGTTATTGGCTTTTGAATATGCATGTGATAAAGTTTTGTTGTTTTGTTATGATTGGTATGTTAAATTATTAGTATCTAATTGAGTGAAATTTAGTTCTCATTTGAAATTTAACACAAACGATTAACACAAACGATTAATCTTTTATAATTTGCTATAACATGTACGTTGGAGTTTATGGATAAGATTGATAAAATTTCGGTTCAATATTTGTACTGTTCTCCGGATGCATATTTGATTGTGACCATCCTTGATTACTCTTATTTCGTGTATATTGGAGACCAATGCAAAATGTTGCCGAAATCTTATCAAATTTATGATGTAGACTTCTTTGCATGTGTTTTAGCAAATTATGAAAAATAATTTTTCTGAATGGGTAGGGCCTAACCTTATGAGAGTTAAAAAATTGAAACTGATGAAGTATATTACGAACATAGTATGGATCGAAGCTGGATGAATGAACGTCGCATCAGTGAAGAATATGAGAAGGGTGTTTCAGAGTTCTTGCAATATGTTGAACAAAATGTTAAGTCTGTGAACGGGACATATTTTTGTCCTTGTGTTCGTTGTCTTAATCAAACACTCCAAGACTTAGACAATATGTGTGACCATCTATTCATGTTTGGTATAATGAGAACTTATACCGTTTGGACTTGGCATGGAGAAGTACCGGACCAGCCTACCACGTCACGAGGAACAGATTATGTGGAAGAATGGATGAGTGATCATTTAGAGGACATTATACTTGATGTTGGTGAAGATAATTTTGGAAGAGCTAATTTGTATGATTCTCTTAAACATGATTCAAAGCAACCGTTGTTTCTAGGATGCCCCAACTTTACACGTCTGTCTGCAACTTTGAAGTTGTTTAGTGTAATAGCAAGGAATGGATGGACTAATAAAAGTTTCACATAGTTGTTGGAGTTATAGAAGGAGATGCTTCCAGAAAATATTATGTTCAATGGGACTCGAATATCAAAAGATACATGCTTGTCTTAATGATTGTGTTTTGTACATAAAGGAGTTTGCTTCGCTAAAGTATTGTCCAACATGTGGTTTATCCCGTTCTAAAAAGAAAAATGACAAAAACACTAGTGATGAAGGTAATGATGGTGCACCTTCTAAGGTGATGTGGTATTTTCCTATAATACCTAGGTTCAAACGTATGTTCTCTGTTAAAGAAGATGCAAAGAACCTTAAATGGCACACTACCGAAAGAAAGTGCGATAATCTTCTTCGACACCCAATTGATTCACCACAATGTAAGAAGATCGATGAAACATTTCTAGAATTTGGTGCAGATCCAAGAACTTAAAACTTGCACTTGCAACTGATGGTATGAATATGGGAACTTAAGTAGAAAACACAATTCATGGCTAGTTATGTTGATGATATATAATCTTTCTCCATTGTTTTGCGTGAAGAGAAAATATGTGATGTTGTCCATGATGATATCGGGTCCTAGACAACCTAGAAATAACATTGATGTTTACTTGAAACCTTTAATTAATGATTTGAAAATGTTGTGGGAAGAAGGGGTCGAAGTGTTCGATTCTGATGTTCAAGAATCTTTTCGTTTGCGTGCAATGTTGTTTTGCACTATAAATGATTTCCCAGCATATGGAAACTTAAACGGTTATAGTGTAAAAGGTCATTTTGCATGTCCCATTTGTGAAGAAAACACTAGTTACTTTCAATTGAAGCATGGTCAAAAGACAATATATACAAGACATCAAAAATTACTTCCTTGTAATCACCCTTACCGTAGATTAAAAAAAACATT